AAAAGTTATAAGATGGGATTCCATGAACCATAATCCCTTATAATCACCGCCGCCCTCAATGTGACATGGACTCTATTATTTTATTGAAATTGAACATGATAATTTGAAAGGACACGTAGCATTTATCCTGACAAAAAAGCTAGCATTTTGTTGACAACCATAAAAAATGATAAAAGAGGCAATTCTCCACGGTGAACGACCAAGTTGATATTTATTCAATTTGAACCAGATGGAGAGGACAAAGGTTTTCTCTCAAGATCAGAGATAACTCATGGAGAGTAGAGGTGTCAAGACGGACGGGCCGGTCAGACCCGTGAAAATCAACTCGGATCGACTCGGGACCGCGGGCCGACCCGTGACCCAAGCGGGCAGTTCACAGGTCAAGGAGGTGTGACCCGCGGGTTTCGCGGGTTGCACCTTCACGGGCCGCGGTTAACCCGCAAGCCCATGAATATTTTTATTTTTTAATTTGAAAAAAATAGGGGGAGAGAGCAACATAAAATTATTGATGATGTTGCTGAAAATTTCAAAATCTCGCAGTTTTTGAAGATTGATTAGAAAATAAATATTAAAATATATAATTTTTGAACAACTAAATTATAGTTAAGACTTAAGTAGGTGCCAACCTAGTTGGGATGTACTTATACTATAAATATTTGATAATAGTAATTAGAAATGCATTTAGTTGTTATTTGTTTAAGTNTTCTTAGTATAAATATGAATTTATCATTTTGTTCAATTCTTAGTTTACATTTAACAAAAAAAATATTTTTGCTACAAATATGAAAAATTCTATATTTTTATAATTTTATTTATACAATAATATGGGCCAAATCGGAACAAACCGCAACCCGCGCGATCCGTGACCCGCATGGGCTCGACCCTGATAGATCAGCGGACGAACTTGGGTAGTCCAAAATTTATGGGTCGACCCGGAACCCGTAGCGAGCGGGTTTTTTTTCATGGGGGTCGGTTCCAGATCAATGAATTTAGAGTGATTAGTCAATGAATTTAGAGTGATTTAATGAGATTTCCTTGGTGGATAAATAATTGTTAATAGAATTTTTAATTAAAATATAAGGATGTAATTGTGCTTTTAAATAGAATTCTTACTGCAGCCGCTAAATTTGGACAAACGTGTGAAACTATTTTACTTTCAATTGAATTTTTTTAACAATTGATCAAAACTAAAAAAATAATAAATAATTAAGATTCCTTGAACTTGGATTGATCAAATAATGATATTTCTATACCATATGCAATATTTTGCCCTAATTAATTTGTTCAATTAGATTGTAATAGGGTGGAATAATGATAAAGTGAGCCATGCCAGATTCCTAATCGGACCGGACTCTTCTTTCCATTATTTTACACTTATCCCACATAGGAAAGTTAGGAAACTTTGATGTGATTTATATAGTGAAAATTTGAAAATTAGATTTGAGTCTCAAGGCGTACTAATATTCTTTGGAAGGAGAAACCTATCATATTAGATTTAGTCCTATGTCCCTGCGCGCGCAGCCACTTGATCGGCTCGACACGCACTAGCAAGTGTTCAGATGTAGATGGGTCCTTGTACTATATTATCTTTTTAGACAAATTTTATTTAAAATTTTGGGCCAAAATGTAATTAATCAAATTGTTGGATACTTAATGAGATTAATTTTGATTGGCTTATTTCTGGTTAATTTTTCATTTTTTGGTCTGAAACATGTGTTAACAATAGAATTTAGTAGTGAAAGAAACTATATAAATTATATAAAAAAAATGTGGTCTACAACATAAAATTAAATTTAAATTCTGAAACATGATAGGTATCCCCGTTTGAAATAAATGTTTTAAGTTGCAGCGTTTTAAGCCCTTATTTAGTTTGGATTAAAAATTTAAAATTTCAAATCAAAATCAACAATTAATTTTATCCGCACATTTTATAGGATCTTCAACTTTTCAACCACATATTTCATTAATTTTTTTAAAAATTAATAAAAATCTAATTTTAATCTCTACCAAACATGGGCTAAGCATGGTAAAAATTTCTCCCTAACAATCCCGTCACCCCTGCCACTCCAACTAAACCAATGACCACACTAGATTGCTGCCACAACTTTTCAACTACATATTTCATCAATTTTTATCAAAATTTACTAAAAATCTAATTTTAAAATCTACCAAACATGGACTAAGCATGATAGAAATTTCTTCCTAACAATCCTGTCACCACTGCCACTCCAACTGAACCAATGACCACGCTAGACTACTGCCACTGCCCATCTCTCCTGTAAATTGAACATCACACTTCCGACTTCCATTTTGTTTAAATCCATACAACTCACCTTGCAGCCATTGCCAATAGATAATTCCTTCCGACGCTAGTTCATCAAGGCTTGTTTGTTAAAACTTTACAAAAAGATTTCAAATTTTCAATTGATCAAACTTTAGTTTTAACAACATATTTCATGAGATCCACATTTTTTATCAACTTTTCAACTACAAATTTCATCAACTTTTATCAAACTGCAAAAATTTTAATCAATTTGTTTTTCAAATAACCCCTAAACATCAATATTTTTGACAGATGTATATATATTTGCAGGCACGAACCTACGGCGAGGCGAATGCAGCATGTGCCTCAAGCCCAAAACTGGATGGGGGCCTATTTTTGGCCTTTTTTTGTTTTAATCAGGCCCAATAACAGATGGGCCTCATCTTTGGCCCAATTATAATTTTTTTTAATTACAAAATGGAAAATCAATTTTCATTCTCTCATTCAACCTGACTCCAACTGCGACGCCATCTCTTCTCGATCAATGACCAGTCAACCTCGTCGTCATGACTCCTCCAACCATCCTTTACTTCCCTTCCCTTCCCTTCTCTTCCTTTCACTCTTTCACAAACCACAAGTTTTACACATTTCACAACTTTTTTCAACCATAACGACCTAACCACATGAGTCACGAAATGATGCAGCAACTCCCCAATCCTCCTGCCAGTCGGCATTCCACAGTTGAAATTTGAACAACAAACCCACAACAAAAATTCAAGAAAATAAAGCCTTTTTCTGGTTGATTTTTCATCACAAGTACTTTAAAGAAAGTGAATCGGACAATCTGAAAATGGTACATTTTTTTTTTTGGCCACGTTTAGTTTCTGTTATCAAAGTATTCACTGTGACAAGGGTTTTGAATCAGTGCAGTATTTATGATAATTAATTGATTTTTTGACTGGGCTTGTCTTTTCTTGGTTTAAAGTTCGGTGGAAAAATTGACTCTACATTTAGTTTTGCTTTAGCGGAGCCATAGATGTCCATTTTCAACTATTCCTGAGTGGCTAATTCAACTGTTTTTGAATTTTCATTTTCATCTATTGCTCTTACTGTTTGTTTTCACCTATAAATGTAGCATTTAATTGATTGTTATATGATTTATTTCAAATTTTTACCCATTTTTGAACCCTCATGTTAAAGACTTTGCTTTTGATTCCTCATTCCTGAATATTTCTTTTTCTATGTGATTTTGTCTCAATGAAATATTAAAATTTTATTTCAAGCTTGTGAGATGTGACAGTGGAATTCTCAAGGGTGTGAATTGTGATTCCATAATTTTCGTCGAAATTCTACTTTTCAAGTAAGTGATGGCTTACCCTAACTTGTTATTGAATATATTGAAAATATTTGAAACGTTGTTGGCTTATATAATTGTGGCCGGTCGATTTATATGATTGGTTATTGTATAGAATCAATTGCACAGGCGCATGTAGTAACTACTTTGTTTTTTTATACTTGTTTGTTGTTTTACTGCTAAGTTTTAAGTTGACAATATATTGCATAATACACTGTTGAATTTTGCATTGACGTTGATTTTGGGGGGACCTAATTTATGGATCTCGTCTCAGGCCTCGAAAATCACAGGACCGGCCCCGTTAATATTTGTATACCTACTACTCGATGGGGATATCAAAATCAACAAATAAAAGACCATTCTGGTTTTTAGCGTACCTTTTTTAAAAAATTTAAATTCTTAATATTTCCGACTAAAATGGCTGGTAAAAATTAATGTCTTAGTTTTGGTTGGTATGTGTCTTCATCAACTATAACAACGCCATAAGGGCATGCTTTTTTATGCAAATGCTCTAGGACTCATTTGTAAATAGAGCGTGACATTGACATTCTTGTCCAAATGCATCCTAACACGCAGGCCCGGCCCTAGACCAAAGTCAACTAGGCAGTGGCCTACGGCCTCAAAACTGAGGCGGCCTCAAAGTGCGAAGGCCCAAATATATTTATTGGATAATAGGCTTTGGCCACATAATGAGATAGATTATTCTAAGGTTTGTGTGGAGTTGGAGACTGAGAAGAGGCGGGACGAGGTGAACAATAGTAGTGTGTTTTGGTGGGATGCGGAGGTGGACAGATTTGAAGTGGAGGAGCTTGGAAGGTACAAGGCCGCTTTAGGGAGTCGATAAAGAATTCGAACACAAAAGTAGAATCGCAAATTTTGTTACGATGATAATTGATACAGATTTCTTCTTCTTCGTTAACACCCATCGCCTTTGGAATTATAGATATGAATCCATCTATAGAAGCATTTGCAATTTTTTATACACATAATATGAAAAAAAAAATTTTGAATTTTTATAATTTTTATGTTGTTACTCTTTTGCAAATTGGTCCTCAATTACATAAAAGAAATTTTTGTTTGAGGTGATTTTCTATTTTTATTGTACTTTTTGTAAAATATAAAATGATAAATTGTAAAAATATTGTTTTACCAAAATCTCAAGAAAAGATTTACTTCAATTCGACACGATGAAGGGACTCATAATAATTAGTCGTCTAGGACCTCAAAATTCTCAAGATCGATTCTATTAGCACAAAATAGTTAGACTAGCAATTTGACAAATTTAAGTTCGCGTAAAAGAATATTTTGCTCTATTTTGAAGAAATTCAAGCTGTTAATAGCCACAAGGAAAGGGGAAAAAAATTAGCCCGACATAAATCGTGTAACTTGTTTACTCTTCCATAAGTGCATATGAAAGAAATGTTTGTTACAAAATTATTTATTTTGCAATTAATTACATTTCTATAATGTTTATAATTATCCATAGATTTTGTTAGGTACAATAGCCTTCGATGGTTATACAGATATTCAAAGTACGAACGAGATGGATGGTTGTTGTCCCAACGATAAATGCACCCCCCCCCCCCCCCCCCACCCCCGAATTATGTAACATGTTTAGGAACAGCCCAACTACGTACCAAGAAAGGAAAATTACCAGACTAATAATGTACATCCATAAAACTTATTTACGGCATTCTATGCAACAGGTTTCACTTGCCCCAGATTTGCCAGAAAATAAATACAATGAAGTGAAAGTAGTATAAGAGAAGAAACTAACCCAATTTTGTCCATAATAATGAGGAGAATAAGTCCGAAAAGACCAATGGAACCCACAATTAAATAGAAGACTAAATTGACATGTATGCTAGTCTTTAGTCTTGCCTTCACTGTAAAATCTCCAGCATCTTCATAACCTTGTATCAAGGGCACAACAAGCCTGCTCAAACGGACAAATACAAAATCATAATCTCAAGATACGCATATCTCCATAAAACATTTGTGCTTGAGCCATCTTCAGAAAAAAATTAAAATAGAACTTCTTGAATGTTATGGCACTCCATAATTTTCCTCAGGAAGTAAAAGTACAAAATAGTTAGTGGTACGAAATCCAGGATATGTAAGCAATCCCTGTCAATATTCATGACATGAAGTTATTAAGCGTTTGTTAGGCACAACTTGTTTGAAAACCATTTTTCCTCAAACTTATTTCCAACCACATTTCCCAATAAAATAATTTTGCACGTGGATCTATAACTTTTCCTGGACACATTCTCAAAAAAAAAAAAAACATTTTTCACTTCAAATAATATCTCCCACAAATTGTTTTTGAAAGGTAAAAATTTGGACCATTTCTCGATTTGTGCATATCTCCCACAAATGCTAAATAAATACCTAAATAGAGCACACGAAGACACTCGGACAGACATTACCGTCGAAAAAAGGATCTTCGCGTCTTTCTCTAATTCAAAACCATTGTATAAATTATTTATAAGGGGCATAACGTATTTATATACATGTCAATATTTTATCTTAAAGATCGTAGGACACTAGGAAGTAGCATCCACAAAACATTCAACACAATTCTAGAGAATAAAAGGCAGAACATATCAATTTTGAAGGGGAACATAAAAAATAATAATAATAATAACAAAAGTAAAAAATAAAAAAATGTATAGTGTATTAAAGTGAAATTTAACATATGCAACTAGCCTATGTAGCGAACAGGGAAATAAGTAGTTAAAAATCCAAAATTTTAGAAAAGGCATACCATGTAAGCAAAAATGTACTCCAGTATGACCAACTCCAAAAGAAAGAGATGCCTCCATTAAATTGACCAATTATTGTCTGCGCAAGTAAGAAAATCCTTAAGATTTACCGAAATTCGTCAAATTATATTGGCAAAATGATACAACCAATCATAAGGAGATTCAGAAAAAGGAGATTCGGAAGAATATTTAAGGAAATTATCAATAAAATAATATGATAATAAAAAGTTACAACCATGGTGAAAGGATCAGGCACCCAGAAGTCACTTCCAAACACAAACTGGTACTCAATAGTCGATAGGTAGTACCCCAAATATAGAAATAGTGCCTATATACATTTAATGTAACTTCTTAAAAACAGGGCATACCAATAACCCAAAAGAAAACCATTTCATCGCCATCAAAATGAACTCTAAATCTGATTAAATGACTCTCCTGTAAAAAGTATATAAATCGTCATTAAATATACATGTTAGACATAATTAATCCCAACATGAAACTGGATTACTTAGGATATATCAGAGAGGACATTCCATGGTCATGATCTCCCAAAGAACTGGGGCTATGACTGTGAAAGACAAGATGGAAAAGAAAAAGGAAATACAAGTTCCGTCTAAGGTTGAGGAGCCTGGTGACATGTCAGTGATATTAATTGAGTGCCAACAGCTAGCTTCGTTGTCAGCAATAAGGTAGCTGATGCCTTTCGGAGCACTTTTTTAGTGCGCACTTTAGTTGGCCATGCCTCTTGCAAAACGACAACACTGGTGTCGGACTATGAATGTACATCACACCGCTAGTTGAGTCCAAATGACATGAATATACAGCAGAGACTGGACATGTCAAACTTACAATAAGCTATAGTTCTAGTTCTCAAATTCAATTCCCATGCACACAAATATTCATATAATTTATCTCCATAATATTCCTGTAATTTGGCTTATCACCTATACCTTCCAGTGAAACTTTTGCATGTACAGCACAAAAGACACATTCTTAGACATACTCAGGTGCAGGTCTTGCAATTCTGTTAGTGTATTAAGCTCGTGTAATCCTTTTATTTCAAGATACAAAACACAGACAAAGAATCCAAATTGTGAATATACATGTGTGTGAGCATGTTTTACTAGCTCGTATTTCGTACTTTAGTAGTAGAAATATAAGATACTCCATGGGCCTGCACTTACTAGATAGACTAGCTTGCCTTCTTCCTTAAATTCATAAAGTTGTTTCAAATAATCAAAACATCCAGTGATTAAACCTCTTGTCGACCTGGCTGGTTTGGCCTTTGAACGTGCCAAACCGGTAAATAGTCAACCTACAAGCAAGAAAGAGAAAAGCAAAGTTTTGCCTGAATAAGTCTCCTTAGTTTTTATTGTGATTCCTTGAATAGAAATTGGCCTCAGCTCGCCAATTCACATTCTTTTTGAGGTCTTCTCCAATTCCTGTTCTAGAGCTTCATACCTACCAAATAATACAAACCTAAAACCCTTTTTAAGTGCACATTGGCAGTCCATTATCAAATAAAACAATAACCTGTTCCCTCAGGATTCCATCCACTTCAGTCAGAACAGATGATATACTAACACTCCAAAAGATACCAGTACACAAACAAAATCGACCAAACTGGATTAATAAAAAGTTAAAAACACAACCAAATCAAAATTCAACAAAGTAAATTAAGCTCCTAAGAGCTAATCAAATCATTTCAAGCAATACATAAACTGAAATCCAAAATAACTTCACACGACTCCAAAATCTAGCTGCAAAATTAGAATTTACCGTCCAAATGTCGGCAGGGACAAGGCTGATGATTGAAATGGAGCAGAACCAAGTGTAGCCCACCGTAACAAACACGTAACGCGGCACTTCTGGACCGGCAAAGTATTTTAGAGTCAAGATCACCATGCCTAGGGTTAGCGGCAGGGAGATCAAGTAAAACACCCACATCTTCGATCAATTCCCCTTTTTGTGTAATCAATTATACTCCTCTAATGCACAGATCAAATTTGAGATGATACCTACAGGTTTAATCGGGATTCAAATATATAGAAAAGGGGAATTTTAATCGAAATTCTGAACGATGGGGTGTTATGGAAGCGAATGTGAACCAAATTCAGACTATTCCTGGTCTTCTTCCTCTTCGCCCTCCAGCGGTGTGTGCACGCGCTGCCGATGCGTGTGGTTGGGAATGATATGTGAGTGAGATTTTAGTTCTTGAAGTACCTAAAAAATTTGATGGGGTTTATAAATTTGATTGTATAATCACTTTTCAACAACACTAGTTTTCGCCCGCACGATGCACGGGTTGTGTTTTTCTCAGGGATATGTTAGTGTTGCATGAAGTAGCAGGTTATTATTATGCTTCATTTGAAGAATTCCAACTTTTATTTTTGTGTTCAAGTTTTTGCTAAATGTTGTTCAGATTTCGTTGGAAGCTGTTGAAGGTTTTAGTAATAAATTAGCGAATCTCTCATACAATGATATCAACTGAAAATGTT